TGGGCCTCTGCTTCCTCAAACATGCCAAGCACATGCTCACCTCAGGACCTTTGCACTTGCTCCTCCCTCTACCTGGAATATTCCTCCCCCGCACACCCACATGGCTGCCTCCCTCAGCTCTTGCCGAAAGGTCAGCTTCCTTGAGGCTTTCTGTGCCCATCCCCCAATCACTCACCATCCCCCTTCCCTGCTCCAGTTTTCTCCGGCACTTATCATCATCTGGCACCTTATTTATGGACCTATTTCTTTTCTGTCTTCCCCACAAAAGTGTAAGCTCCATGAGGACAGTAATTTTGTCTGTTTTCTTCACTGTTAAATCCCCAGCACCTAGAACAGTTCCTGGGACATAGTAGATGCTCAATAAATAGTTTTTGAAAGGATGGATGGGTGGGAGGGCAGATGGACCATATTTGTCCTATCCTGTTTGTCTGTCTTGCCCACAAAACCCTAAGCTCCTTGAGAGCAGGGATTTATGTTCTGTTCACACTGTATCCATGAAGGTCACACAGGGCTGGGCACGTGTAAGTTGAATAAATGATGAACCCCTTCAGTTGACCCATGAGGACATGGAAGCCAGGATAAGAGAGAGACTAGGCTGTGGGACATACGAAGACACTAGCAGCCACCTCTGAACTCCAGATCCCAGTCCTGCTCTGGCTGACTAGGGCTCCCCGGGGGCTATCCATGCTCCCTGGCTGCAGCAGTGGGGGGGGGCTACCACCAGGAAGCCCCAGAAACCACTGGGGTGTCTGACTTTTAACCTAACCCCTCAGTATCACTTTGGGCTTAGGGCCCAGAGCCGGGAGCCTGATTCCCTGGGTTGGAGTCCCTGGCCCAGCGCTCACTTCGGCAGGTGTAAATTTAGCCTTCCTTCTGTCGTCTGTAAGATGGGAACTATGACAAGAGGACTTACCATCCAGCAGCCGTGAGGCTTACCTGAGACAAGGCCCGCCCCGTGTTTAGCATGGGGCTCGGGGAGCGCTCGGGGATCACCCCCCCACTCACAGCCAATGCCGAGCCCGAGGAGGACTCGCTCAGGCCCTGCGAGCTTCCCTTGCCGGGTTCCAGCTAATGGGCGCCTGGCCGGACGTGGTTTGGGGTTATAATGCCTCATTTAGCTTTCCGGGCACCTGGACAGTCAGCGTGATTTTCCCAGGTGACATTGAGCGCATTATAAGAACAAAACTCCTTTCAAGGTCAGAAACGCCCGGAAAGCCACTGGGGCAGCCAGAGAGAGGCAGAATCGCGGGCCTCGGCCGCCTCTGGGCTCCCCGGCTTCCTGGCTGGAATTACACCCCTTGGGATCCTGCCAAACCCCAAGGAGAGGCTGATTTGGGCGGAGGAAGGAAAAAAAAAATCCATCTTCCCTCATTCAAAGGGCCACATCTCACTTGCTGGATGGCAGCCATGCGGTTATTGTAATCCCGGGAATAAATAGTCTATGCAACGTGACCCTGACCTACCTACTGCCCAGGCTTCCCTCTCCCTCCCCCGGCAACACACACGTGATTTTATCCCCTCTGACCTTCACAACAAGCCCCACCCCCATTTTCCAGAGGTGAGGCGACATCCCCAAGGTCACAGCACTGGGAAGGGGAGGGTGTGGTCTGTCTGCTTCTTTCTACAACATCGCCCCACTCAGTGACTGAACCCAGTGGCACCTGCCCCTTGGGATTTCTAATCCGCTCTCACAAATGGAGAAACTGAGGCCCAGAGGAAGGGGCAACTTGCCCCAGTCACACAGCTGGGAAATGGTAGGGTGACTGGCCAGCCTCCATGCCCAGGATTCCTGCCATATTTATAGTGCCGGGCAGGCTTAGCGTCCCAGAGTGAAACCAAGGTTGAAAAGGACTGGCCCTGGGAAGTCCATGTAGGTGCCCTTGGCTTGGCTGGCAGCTCAGCTGCTTTTGACCTTGGGTGCCCTTGGGTAGGTCAACCCTCTGGGCTCACTTCTGGCTATTATGATGTAGGTAAGACTTTACATGGACTCACCTTTTCACTGAAATAAATTTTAATTGCAAATGGGCAACCAGGATCATGCCAAAAAATAAAACAGAGCCACCACAACAAATACAAGGAAAATCCAGCTGCATCCCCGGATTCCCACGTGTCTCCGTCACCTGCTCAGGGCTCCCTGTCTTTGAAAGGGAAAAAATGACACCTGAGAGGTGTTTAAGACCCATCAGCTTCAACAGGGACTTTGTCTTTGATGTAAAGAAAGGAGAAGTGAGAACTAAGTAATTCTGGCATTGCGGCTGACATTTAAGGCTGGGTCCAGGTGCCACCTGAACATCTCCTCCAGGGACCACCAGAGGCACCACGGCGTCCACATTCCTCATTTGGAAGACTCTAGAGCAGGTAGGTCATCGAGGCCCTTGCAGTGCGAGGTTATGTCCCAGCCTCTCCGTATTTGTGGATGTGTGTTTCGGAGGGAGCGGTGTCATGCCCACCCCGTCAGGGGGAGATTGAAGGATTCTGCGGGGGTAGCCATGGGTGTCTGCTGGTTAGTGGCTGAAGTGGGGTCTCGCCTTCCCTTTGGAGCAGTTGGCACCCCACGGTCTCACCCTTCCTGTCCTCTTGGTCCATTCTCAGTTCTCCATCCATTGCTGGAGTCCTTCCCCTCCGCTCCTCCCCTCTCTCTCTAGGAGCCAGCCATGGGGGACAGGAGCTTGGGGAAGAGGAGTTGAAGGGATATGGCTGGGGGTGGAAGGG